AAGACCAAGACCAGCTCCAAAAGTAGACAAAGGAGCGGCGAGGGCCGACGCCCTGTAGGCTACGGCCGGTGCATGATGGACGACTGCAGGACCAGGTGCCCCGAAGGCAGGAGCCGCAAGCCCCAGTGGACGGAGACCAAGCGCCGGACGAACTTGAGCGAAAGCTGGAGCAGGCTGAACGAACGTGGTAGCTGGTCTCAACTGGGTCAAGGCTGGTGCTGCTTGGACAAAGGCGGGGGCTGGTCTAAATTGGGTCACTGCTGGAGCCGCCTGAACGAAGGTGGGTGCCGGTCTGAACTGGGTCACTGCGGGAGCGGAATGTACCACGGTGGCAGCAGGACCAGCCGCTGGAAGAAGGTGCTTGACGTGAAGACCAGTTGGTGTCTGTCCAACAAGGGTGTGACCCAGTCCAAGGCCAGCGCCATAGGTAGATACTGGGTCAAGGAGACCCGCTGTTCTGTAAGACACGGCTGGAGCGTGGTGGACGACAGCTGGTGCGGCTAGTTGAGCTGGGAAGCCAACTTGACGGAAACCAACGGCAGGGCGAACTTGTGCGAAGGCCGGAGCAGGGTGAACGAATGCTGGTCCTGTTCTAAACTGAGTCACAGCTGGGCCACCTCCAACAAGTGTGTGTCCAAGACCAAGACCAGCTCCAAAAGTAGACAAAGGAGCGGCGAGGGCCGACGCCCTGTAGGCTACGGCCGGTGCATGATGGACGACTGCAGGACCAGGTGCCCCGAAGGCAGGAGCCGCAAGCCCCAGTGGACGGAGACCAAGCGCCGGACGAACTTGAGCGAAAGCTGGAGCGGGCTGAACGAACGTGGTAGCTGGTCTGAACTGGGTCAAGGCTGGTGCTGCTTGGACAAAGGCGGGAGCTGGTCTAAATTGGGTCACTGCTGGAGCCGCCTGAACGAAGGTGGGTGCCGGTCTGAACTGCGTCACTGCGGGAGCGGAATGTACCACGGTGGCAGCAGGACCAGCCGCTGGAAGAAGGTGCTTGACGTGAAGACCAGTTGGTGTCTGTCCAACAAGGGTGTGACCCAGTCCAAGGCCAGCGCCATAGGTAGATACTGGGTCAAGGAGACCCGCTGTCCTGTAAGACACGGCTGGAGCGTGGTGGACGACAGCTGGTGCGGCTAGTTGAGCTGGGAAGCCAACTTGACGGAAACCAACGGCAGGGCGAACTTGTGCGAAGGCCGGAGCAGGTTGAACGAATGCTGGTCCTGTTCTAAACTGAGTCACAGCTGGACCACCTCCAACCAGTGTGTGTCCAAGACCAAGACCAGCTCCGAAAGTGGACAATGGAGCGGCGAGAGCCGACGCCCTGTAGGCTACGGCCGGTGCATGGTGGACGACTGCAGGACCAGGTGCCCCGAAGGCAGGAGCCGCAAGCCCCAGTGGACGGAGACCAAGCGCCGGACGAAGTTGAGCGAAGGCTGGAGCAGGCTGAACGAACGTGGTAGCTGGCCTGAACTGGGTCAAGGCTGGTGCTGCCTGGACAAAGGCGGGGGCTGGTCTAAATTGGGTCACTGCTGGAGCCGCCTGAACGAAGGTGGGTGCCGGTCTGAACCGGGTCACTGCGGGAGCGGAATGTACCACGGTGGCAGCAGGACCAACCGCTGGAAGAAGATGCTTGACGTGAAGACCAGTTGGTGTCTGTCCAACAACCGTGTGTCCCAGTCCAAGGCCAGCGCCATAGGTAGATACTGGGTCAAGGAGACCCGATGTCCTGTAAGACACGGCTGGAGCGTGGTGGACGACAGTTGGTGCGGCTAGTTGAGCTGGGAAGCCAACTTGACGGAAACCAACGGCAGGGCGAACTTGTGCGAAGGCCTGAGCAGGTTGAACGAATGCTGGTCCTGTTCTAAACTGAGTCACAGCTGGGCCACCTCCAACAAGAGTGTGTCCAAGACCAAGACCAGCTCCGAAAGTAGACAATGGAGCGGCGAGGGCCGACGCCCTGTAGGCTACGGCCGGTGCATGATGGACGACTGCAGGACCAGGTGCCCCGAAGGCAGGAGCCGCAAGCCCCAGTGGACGGAGACCAAGCGCCGGACGAACTTGAGCGAAGGCTGGAGCAGGCTGAACGAACGTGGTAGCTGGTCTGAACTGGGTCAAGGCTGGTGCTGCTTGGACAAAGGCGGGGGCTGGTCTAAACTGGGTCACTGCTGGAGCCGCCTGAACGAAGGAGGGTGCCGGTCTGAACTGGGTCACTGCGGGAGCGGAATGTACAATGGTGGCAGCAGGACCAGCTGCTGGAAGAAGATGCTTGACGTGAAGACCAGTTGGTGTCTGTCCAACAAGGGTGTGTCCCAGTCCGAGGCCAGCGCCATAGGTAGATACTGGGTCAAGGAGACCCGATGTCCTGTAAGACACGGCTGGAGCGTGGTGGACGACAGCTGGTGCGGCTAGTTGAGCTGGGAAGCCAACTTGACGGAAACCAACAGCAGGGCGAACTTGTGCGAAGGCCGGAGCAGGTTGAACGAATGCTGGTCCTGTTCTAAACTGAGTCACAGCTGGGCCACCTCCAACAAGTGTGTGTCCAAGACCAAGACCAGCTCCGAAAGTAGACAATGGAGCGGCGAGGGCCGACGCCCTGTAGGCTACGGCCGGTGCGTGATGGACGACTGCTGGACCAGGTGCCCCGAAGGCAGGAGCCGCAAGCCCCAGTGGACGGAGGCCAAGCGCCGGACGAACTTGAGCGAAGGCTGGAGCAGGCTGAACGAACGTGGTAGCTGGTCTGAACTGGGTCAAGGCTGGTGCTGCTTGGACAAAGGCGGGGGCTGGTCTAAATTGGGTCACTGCTGGAGCCGCCTGAACGAAGGTGGGTGCGGGTCTGAACTGGGTCACTGCGGGAGCGGAATGTACCACGGTGGCAGCAGGACCGGCCGCTGGAAGAAGATGCTTGACGTGAAGACCAGTTGGTGTCTGTCCAACAAGGGTGTGTCCCACTCCAAGGCCAGCGCCATAGGTAGATACTGGGTCAAGGAGACCCGGTGTCCTGTAAGACACGGCTGGAGCGTGGTGGACGACAGCTGGTGCGGCTAGTTGAGCTGGGAAGCCAACTTGACGGAAACCAACAGCAGGGCGAACTTGTGCGAAGGCCGGAGCAGGTTGAACGAATGCTGGTCCTGTTCTAAACTGAGTCACAGCTGGGCCACCTCCAACAAGTGTGTGTCCAAGACCAAGACCAGCTCCGAAAGTAGACAATGGAGCGGCGAGGGCCGACGCCCTGTAGGCTACGGCCGGTGCGTGATGGACGACTGCTGGACCAGGTGCCCCGAAGGCAGGAGCCGCAAGCCCCAGTGGACGGAGACCAAGCGCCGGACGAACTTGAGCGAAGGCTGGAGGAGGCTGAACGAACGTGGTAGCTGGTCTGAACTGGGTCAAGGCTGGTGCTGCTTGGACAAAGGCGGGGGCTGGTCTAAATTGGGTCACTGCTGGAGCCGCCTGAACGAAGGTGGGTGCGGGTCTGAACTGGGTCACTGCGGGAGCGGAATGTACCACGGTGGCAGCAGGACCGGCCGCTGGAAGAAGATGCTTGACGTGAAGACCAGTTGGTGTCTGTCCAACAAGGGTGTGTCCCAGTCCGAGGCCAGCGCCATAGGTAGATACTGGGTCAAGGAGACCCGATGTCCTGTAAGACACGGCTGGAGCGTGGTGGACGACAGCTGGTGCGGCTAGTTGAGCTGGGAAGCCAACTTGACGGAAACCAACAGCAGGGCGAACTTGTGCGAAGGCCGGAGCAGGTTGAACGAATGCTGGTCCTGTTCTAAACTGAGTCACAGCTGGGCCACCTCCAACAAGTGTGTGTCCAAGACCAAGACCAGCTCCGAAAGTAGACAATGGAGCGGCGAGGGCCGACGCCCTGTAGGCTACGGCCGGTGCGTGATGGACGACTGCTGGACCAGGTGCCCCGAAGGCAGGAGCCGCAAGCCCCAGTGGACGGAGACCAAGCGCCGGACGAACTTGAGCGAAGGCTGGAGCAGGCTGAACGAACGTGGTAGCTGGTCTGAACTGGGTCAAGGCTGGTGCTGCTTGGACAAAGGCGGGGGCTGGTCTAAATTGGGTCACTGCTGGAGCCGCCTGAACGAAGGTGGGTGCGGGTCTGAACTGGGTCACTGCGGGAGTGGAATGTACCACGGTGGCAGCAGGACCGGCCGCTGGAAGAAGATGCTTGACGTGAAGACCAGTTGGTGTCTGTCCAACAAGGGTGTGTCCCACTCCAAGGCCAGCGCCATAGGTAGATACTGGGTCAAGGAGACCTGGTGTCCTGTAAGGCACGGCTGGAGCGTGGTGGACGACAGCTGGTGGTGTTAGTTGAGCTGGGAAGCCAACATGACGGAAACCAACGGCAGGGCGAACTTGTGCGAAGGCCGGAGCAGGTTGAACGAATGCCGGTCCTGTTCTAAACTGAGTCACAGCTGGGCCACCTCCAACAAGTGTGTGTCCAAGACCAAGACCAGCTCCGAAAGTAGACAAAGGAGCGGCGAGGGCCGACGCCCTGTAGGCTACGGCCGGTGCATGATGGACGACTGCGGGACCAGGTGCCCCGAAGGCAGGAACAGGAAGTCCCAGTGGACGGAGAGGAAGCGTCGGACGGACTTGAGCGAAGGCTGGAGCAGGCCGAACAAACGTGGTAGTTGGCCTTAAATGGGTGACGGCTGGTGCCGCTTGGACGAATGTGGGGGCAGGTCTAAATTGGGTCACTGCTGGTGCTGCTTGAACGAATGCGGGAGCTGGTCTAAACTGAGTCACTGCTGGAGCCGCCTGAACGAATGCTGGAGCTGGTCTGAACTGGGTCAGTGCCGGAGCGGAGTGTACCACGGTGGCAGCAGGACCGGCCGCTGGAAGAAGATGCTTGACATGAAGACCAGTTGGTGTCTGTCCAACAAGGGTGTGGCCCAGTCCAAGGCCTGCGCCATAGGTAGATACTGGGTCAAGGAGACCTGATGTCCTGTAAGATACAGCTGGAGCATGGTGAACGACTGCTGGTGCGGCTAGTGGGGCTGGGAAGCCAACTTGACGAAAACCAACTGCTGGGCGAACTTGTGCTAAGGCTGGAGCAGGTTGAACGAATGCTGGTCCTGCTCTAAACTGAGTCACAGCTGGGCCACCGCCAACAAGTGTGTGTCCAAGGCCAAGTCCAGCTCCGAAAGTAGACAAAGGAGCGGCGAGGGCCGACGTCCTGTAGGCTACAGCCGGTGCGTGATGAACGACTGCAGGACCAGGTGGTCCGAAGGCAGGAGCTGCTAGTCCGAGTGGACGGAGACCAAGCGTCGGGCGAACTTGAGCGAAGGCTGGTGCAGACTGGACAAACGTGGTAGCTGGTCTTAACTGGGTCAAGGCTGGTGCCGCTTGGACAAAGGCGGGGGCTGGTCTAAACTGGGTCACTGCTGGAGCCGCCTGAACGAATGCTGGTCCTGGTCTGAACTGGGTCACTGCCGGGGCGGAGTGGACCACGGTGGCAGCAGGGCCGCCCGCAGGAAGAATGTGCTTGACGTGAAGACCTGTTGGTGTTTGGCCAACAAGGGTGTGCCCCAGTCCAAGGCCGGCGCCATAGGTAGATAGCGGGTCAACGAGACCCGATGCCCTGTAGGACACGGCTGGTGCGGGATGAACGAGTGCAGGTGCTGCAAGTGGTGCTGGGAAGCCAACTTGACGGAAACCAAAGGCTGTGCGAACTTGTGTGAGGGCCGGTGCGGACTGTACGAGGGCTGGCGCGGGCTGTAAGAACGTGGTCGCTGGCCTGAACTGCGTCACTGCTGGCAAACGTTGGACGAAGGCAGGAGCCGGTCGGAGCTGGGCCGCACCTGGGCTGGAGTGGACCACGGTGGCGGTAGGACCGGCCGCAGGGAGAATATGCTTGACGTGAAGGCCAGTTGGTGTCTGGCCCACAAGAGTGTGTCCAAGTCCGAGGCCAGCGGCATACGTTGATACTGGAGCGCCAATTGCGGCTGTCCTATACGAAACAGCTGGGGTGTGATGGACGACAGTTGGAGCCGGAGCGGCGAATGCTGGACCAGGAATTGCCACTTGGCGGAAACCGACAGCTGGACGAACTTGAGCAAAGGACGGAGCTGTTTGGACGAGGGCTGGCGCTTGCTGCACTAATGTGGTCGCTGGCCTGAACTGTGTCACTGCTGGCGTACCCTGGACGAAGGCGGGAGCTGGTCTGAACTGGGGTACCGCGGGTCCGGCTGCCGGCAGGATGTGCTTAACATGAAGGCCGGTTGGAGTTTGTCCGACCAAAGTGTGTCCGAGTCCGAGTCCCGCGCCGTAGGTGGAAAGCGGGTCGCTCAATGATGTCGTCCTGAAGGACACAGCAGGTCCTGCGACTGGACCTGGGAAGGCCACTTGCCGGAAGCCCACAGCTGGTCGTACCTGGGCGAAGGTAGGTGCAGATTGGACTAGGGCTGGTCCGGGTTGAAGAAGTGCCGGAGCTTGTCTGAACTGCGTCACCACTTGGGGCCTCTGCACAAGGGTGGGCACTGGCCGAAGCTGCGCTACCGCTGGAGTAGAGTGAATCACTGTGGCACCAGGCGCTGCGGCGGGAAGAATGTGCTTTACGTGGAGCCCTGTTGGTGTCTGCCCGACCAGGGTATGTCCGAGACCAGGACCAGCACCAAAGGCGGGGAACGGTGGTGTTGTTCTGAACTGAGTGACGGGCGGTGGGCCCTGGATGAACGCTTGTGGCTGGCTGACCCTGACCCTGACCGGCGGCCTGAGTACTGGGGCGGCCTGGACGGATATCGCTGGAGCTCGCTGAACGAAGGTTGGCGCAGGACCTGGAAGGGCCACTGGGCGGAAGCCGACCCCAGCGGGCCTCAATTGAGCCACTGGTCCGAAACCAACGGCCGGGCCCTGGGCGACGACTCGGGGTCCACCGAAGCCCAATCCACCAGCAAATCCGGCCGGACCGTGGTGCACTACGGTGGTCGCTGCCGGTCCGGCCGGGGCACCCAGGGAGATTCCTCTGAAGCCGAGCCCCGGCTGCGTTAACACCGGGCCAGGAGCGCCGAAGGAGACTGGCTGGCTCACGCTGAGACGAACTGCCGGCCTCACCGCGACGGCCGGAGCCTGCTGCACGAACGTCGTGGCTGGACGAACAGCCAGCGTCGGGGCAGGACCTCCGAACTGTCTGAAGCCTACTCCTGGGTCTCCATGGTGGACGACTGTCGCCGGGGCTGGGGCGTGGTGGACCACAGCGGCGGGGCCTGGGCGGTAAGCTAGCTGTGCAGGGTATGCGGTGCCCACGGCAACGCCGCTCGGTGCGGGGGCTTGCTGAACCACGGTGACGCCTCCTCCGGCTCCGCCGTTGAGGAAGCCCCCCAGGGTCCGACAGGCCAGGCCCAGGAGCAAAATAGTGGACTGCATGAGAGTGGGGCGGGCAGTGAGAGGCCGGAGTCATGATGACTGCTTAAGGCAGCTAAAGCGCCTCGTTAAAAAAAAAAAAAGTTAAGACAACCTTTAGAAAGCGCTGCTTGCTATCTTGGTACAATCATGATAGGGGGCGAGTGCGGCACGACCAAAAATGGAAATAAAAAAAGTAGGCACAGATGAGGAAGGGCAAGAGAAGGAGGAGGAGTGAGTGGAGTGAAGTGCAATCTCTATGCCTTCAGAGCGCATCATAGACTACGAGCCAATGCCCCTAATCAAGAAACCCGATAATCAGAATGTCACGGCTTTATGTATCTTTCTATGGCTGTGTTCTTCACGGCTGACCTAATCAGATTTAGAAAGTACACCGTGACGATGCGGTATGAATGCATTTGCTTGTCGTTAAGCCTTCAACTACGCCCTGAAAAATGACTACACTTAGAGTAGCGATTCCGCCTACCAGCTTGGAAGAGTTCTAATGGATGAATGGTTGCGAAAAAGATAAGAATAACAATTAAAAAAAAAATAAACTCTGTAAGCCGGAAGGGAAAAAAGAGGTCGTTTCTTATTGAGGTAAATTAGACGCAACGCGTATTTGACACGTCTCAACATAGAAACTGCGGTTGCTGGCAGCTTAAGGAGCACAGGATGTGTCTCATTATGTCCAAGCCTCTTGCTTTCTGATTCGTCCTTAATCTTCTTCATCAACCTGACTCGGGAATTTCATTGGCTGCTCAGCGATAAGGGAATGCACGCAAATCGCCACGCCCTTAATTTCTTAGGCTGTCAGAGACTCTAGTGACCGACTGCTTTAGGGGTGAAAAATAGTTTCAAACCTGATGAGCATTTCTCGGGCTGGTGTTACTCCCACGCGAAAGCCTGTAGCTTTTCTTGCTAAAAAACAATTTGGTTGGAAGTGTGGCATGCACGTGTTAGAGGCCACCATTAGTTGGTATTAAAGCCATTATGACGAAATCTTACCGATCGCCGCCCTTATTTGCAGCAGATGGCGTCTTCGATGGGGATAAGTATATGCTTGCTATTTTACGATTCCTGACTCAATAATATTCGGGTCTAATGGTTTCACTTTACTAACGATGTTTGATGGGACGCCACTACCTTCTACCTATATACTGAAATATCTCTACTTAACGTTTACAAGCTGAGGATAATACTTCACGGTATTGTTAGAAGATATTTTACGTAATCGAGCGTTAGTTCCCTTCGATCATTTCGTAATGTCTTATTACAGTAATATTATATCTTTATTGACATATCCTGAGGTGGACATGTACGTGTTTGTATTAAATTGTGATCAGGGACTCAGTTAGATAAGTTAGAACTTACGCAGACAGTGAAAGTACTGCAATTGGTAGAAAAGACATAATTGCATCCCAATTGCGCTAAAATTCAATAGTACTGCTTGAATCTATGTGTATTGTGAGTTGCCGTTCTGAAGATTATATCGCGAAAGAAAATAATTTCGCTTTGATTCTGGCATACCCAAAGTGTTAACTGGGGATTGATAGCGATACCGTGCAAATAATTATCAGTTTGTTTCCTCTGCTCGAGACTTGTAATCAAATTGAACGCTAAGAAATCATGGCAGCTGCATTTGTTTACATGTAGCATTGATTATTTATCAGTTATTACGTGATGGTGAAGTTTGAGTGCATTCAAGTAATTATGATGCTACGGATTGCCTCCTCAGCTGCTGGTGTTACAGCCTGTATTCTTATCTTCTTGCATGAAATACTGCAGGATTGTTGTCGCGACACCTTCACATTGGTACACGACATATTCAGTTGTACAACATGTGCTAGGTGTTAGCTACCCCACATTTTGTGAAAACTTACTTATTTCTTCTAACGTTAAGAACCAAGGGAGCGAATCAAGAGTTAGGAACACTGTATATTAGTTAATTGATATTTTGGAATCAAATAAAAGAAGTTCTGCTTGCTGAAAAAAATATCAAATAATTATAAAGTGACAAATCTGTTTGTCACAATACTTACCGGTCTTAGAGCAATTCAGGTAAAGTTAGGCTTTCACTTCACCTGGATTTAATCTTTTCAAAAAGTCTTTTAAGCAACTTAAAGCTTAGTATCCTTAGCAATTCATTTTTAGGCAGTGTATGGGAGTACCCTAGCTATAGCATATGTTTTTGTGGGTCCTTATTATGCATGTTTTAAAAGCATTCTTAGGTTCTTTTTCCTCTTTTTCTTTTTCATTAAACGTCAGATGTTAGTCAGCGCTCTATCCTGTCTCCCTTGTCGATCCTTCCTTGCCGTATTTGCGCTATTAATTCTACGTAATGATCAACCGACTACCCCACCAGATGATCGTGATTAGGCTCTAAGTATGGTGGAGCATGGTGAGCACCGTATGAATCAGTCTACCAGGTGTTCAGTACGCTGTGCACTGTTTAGGACTCCTAGCGAACGATGATTCCATAATTTTGCTCATCATTTGAACTTGTTTTTGACGGCCGTTTCAAGGGTCAAAGGTCAAGCTCCCGGGCGTGCAGCTTAGTTATCAATGATCTTTATTTTTTTTCCTCTGGGGGTTAGCGAAAGATATTATGCTGAGACGCTTATAGACGCCTTGATTGATTGATTGAAGACCCGCCTTAATCCATAATTTATGCCCCTGCTGCCCTGCTGTGCGGTCTAAAATGTGGATAAAAACGTTTCTTCATTCAATCAATCGAGGTGACCATAAGCAACTCAGCGTAACGTATCTCGTGGACCCTCATAGGAAAAGAAAAAAAAAAGAAAAAGACGCTTTGTTCTTGATGTTGTTCTGACTATCTCTGACATCCACCACTGGTTTTAACGAGTTCGCTTTTACTTTCACACTTACCTTGACAGTTCTCTACATGGAGACGGCAAGTCTTTACTTCTGAAGCCCTCTTCGTCAATATCTAATTTTAGTTTGTCGCAGCCACTCCGCTCTTTTACCACCTTGCCTGTGCCAGCTCTTCCTAGGTTGCAAGGCCGCGCCGCTGGGAATGTGACGTCATGTACAGAAGGCCAACGCAGAACACAAAGTGGAGTCGTGCGGTGGATCGCCGTTCTAATTGAACTCGTGTCCCGAAGGACTGAACACGATTCCCAGCCACACGGCGACGCACCGCTCGTGCCCAATTTGTGACGTGCGTCGGCTTCTTGTAGGTGGCGTCACAATTTCAGCATTACGGGCTTGCTGTCTGGGAAGTGTTGAATGCACTCTTTTACTTTCATAAGATGTAATTTAAAACTTGCACGAATACGTTTTGATTGAAGTCACGATACTCTAGAGTCTACATGATTTCATGGTATGCTACTAATTATGCAATATGGTATTTAAAACCAATATATGCGTATCATATAAAACGCTTCAATTTTATAATCAACCTCTCGTCGCTTCCAGGTAGATCGTCTTCCGGTTCCTCTAATCAGATACGACCTCCTTGATTTGTTTGGAACACGTGTATACATGGAATTTAGGTTGAAGTATTTTTGATAACATTAAGGGGGTAGCCTCGAGGTAAAAATTTACAAGTCAATAGAAAAAATTTATCTCTTAAAAAAAAAGAAAGAAAGAAACATCACTGATATGAACCAACCAAGGCCCCTATTTTTTATACAAGCAGAGCATATTGAACGTAAGTTCCTACAAGAACATGATGCAACTTAATAACGGGTTTATTGGATGTGGTCATTTAGGCCTAGTCGTGATTTTTTGTGATACGAGTTTATCATTTCTTTTTTGTAGTCGGTCAATTTCTTTTAACAGCGCGCTTGTATGCAGGAGCTTGTTGTATTTGTGGTTTCTTCCCAGTGGCCTAAGTTTCAAGCTTCTTTGTATTTCCGGGTATAAGCTCACGCAAAGTTTTTTGTTCAGTTACAGCATTACCAGCCCCGCCCCCGCCCCCCTCAAACAATCGACGTTGAACGTACGCTACAGAGGACGCACGGACTAACACGCAAGCCTACTGTGCTAAGAATGCTATAGACCAACTGGACTATCTGACGACACGCCACTGCGGTGTCGTCGTTGTTGGCATTGCGCATGCGCAGAGGCCTCAACTTACGCGAGTCTGGCATCTGCGCAAGTCCAGTACCGACACATTGGGGGAGGGAGGGGGAAGGGGATACTGAGGATTCGTTTGTCAATAGCTGTTGGCGAAAAAGTCTCCCACAACTTAACACGTGCAAAGCTCCCGAGCACTTCGTCATCCCTCCGGAGCCAATCAGATTGCGGTATTGGTAGATAACAAGACCGAAGCACCAATCACGAAACAAGGACTGTTATGGTATAATAAGCCACACCCCTCCGTTGCTTAGGGTGTCAGTAACAATAGCAAACGGAACCCCTTCATTTCAAACTTTTGTAAGTGCGTCCGTGTATTTGCCGCTAAATGTAAAGGGTGGAAACTAACTTGGCGTTTAGGTCATGTGATCCGACGTCACGCGATCTTATGCACATAGGAGGCTTGCCCCGCCAAAATCGGCGGGGAAATTGACGTCACGTGAGCCGACGACACGTGGCGCATCAATGCAGTTTTCCCGCCAAATGTAGCAGTTAAATTTACGTAACGTAACCTCTACACGAATTTAGTTTCCCTTGCCATATTGAGAGGGGAAATTGACGCCACGTGATTAAGGCAGCAGTTTCCCCGCTCAAGGTACCGGGGAAATTGATAAAAATTAAGTTGATTTTTCACTCTCCGAAACGACGGTTTTAACGTCTTCCAAATAATTTTAAAGAATCCCACCTTAACTACTGCATTTCATGTATTAGGCATAAAGGTCGCTCCCAGTTTTTTTTAAATATATTTTTATTGAACTATTCGTCTAGTGCTCACTTAAAACTACATAGTACGTTCTAATCTAACACCTCCTAAACGGCAAGCAATCCGCTTCAACATATTTTGTTTATTTCGTTATTCCACTATATATTGACTTCAAAAATTAAGAGGTCGCGCTGTGTGCAGAGATAGTCTAGAGAAAAGG